CCCTACACATCTGGCAGCCTACCTTACTTCCTGAAAATTCTTGCTGTGTTCCTCAAAACCACAAAAACTGTCACGCTCCTGCTGTACCGAGATCACTCTTTCTCATTCTAATACTGTCCACTGCTTTGTATTCCCACCTGTCCACAGCCATCTGTTGCCTTTTTTCTTGTAAGCATTTTGGAAAACCATGATATTTTTTTTCCTCTGCTCAGAATACCTGTTCTGAGCTCACTACAGGACAGCCCCAGAGACCATGACTATGGCTTATAATGTTAATGGCAATACAGATTTTTTTTAATAGATTAAAAATACACAGTAGTTCAGCTTGTCTCAATTGTTTAAGACAAGGCTTTTGGCTAGGGCATAGTAAAGAAAATTTAAAACAGCACTAACCTACAGTGCCACTTTGATTATCAGCTATTTCTTCGTCAGTTCTTTGGATGTCTTTCTCTCCTTGCGAGTACATATCAAGGTTTTCCTAATTAAAAGAAAGAAGATCAGTCACAAATACGCAGAAAACCTGACATGGGCATATTTGGTACCCAGATAGTAACATTATCAAGGCACTCCATATACACACTGTCTGTTCTAGCAGACAAAAAAAATTAATACAGGCATTTGAAAGACGATACACAAAGTACAATGGACAAATCTGGTTTCATTTAAAAAAAACCAAAAATGCATTTGAGATCTAAACATAAAACTATGAAAGCAGGCTATGAAGATGTTTAAAAAATGAAGTGCCTGCCATTTAAAATGACAGTTTTGTAGAAGAACTTAATTTAACAGAGCAAAACTAAGAGGAAATATGATTGCTGTATATAATTTTAACGTAAGTTCCTCTAGGGACAGAGGACTACTTAAGCTCACAGGCAGGGCTGGCACAAGAACAAACATAGATAAAGCAGCCGTCAGTGAATTCAGTTTTTCGTAAGATTTGAAGTGAAAACCCAAGCCCTGAAACAGCTCTTTGTAAACAGTGTCCATTCAAAAATCCTAAGGCAATTCAGAAAGTGTAATATTTCAGAAAGACATGTATTTCAGCATATCACTGCTATTTCATGTCTTCTGAAGAAGGTGTTTTCTGTATATCTGTAGCATGACCCTGACAGTAAGATGTTAAATTATAATTAGAGAACAAAAAAAATAATGTTATTTTAGACTATGGTATTCTTTGGAAGAAGTTATTTCAGCTAAATTAAAATTACAACTAAATAATTTCCCTGTGTGAAATACACTACTTATACAAAAACAGTAAATAAGTTAGTATCTACTTCTTCTTCATCGTGGAACACCCCAAGGTCTTCCATCATTCGCCGTCTACGCATCTTCTTCATGTCATCCATTTTTTGCAAGACTGCTTCTGCAGTACTAAGATAAAAAGATGACAAGTAAGAGCAAAGATTGGCAAGTACAAAAAACAGTTTTAAAACAGTACACATAATCAGTATGACATTTTAATATAGTATGCACAAAGCAAGAGTCATTGATGCCAAGTTTTTGAACACTGCCTAAAAGTTACGTCAAATGTTTACTTTTTTACAGAGAGATTTAAGAACAAGTGTTTGAACGTTTGCAAACACACTGTTTTCAGGTTTATTTTCCTCTCTCACTGAACACAGTGAAAAAAAATCTGGTTTAGCAGGAAAAAAAGAATTCTGAAGATCATAGTAAGATAACAGAAAGAAATTATGGCAGTTTTTAATAGCACTTAAGTTGCTCTGCATGACAGCATTAAGTAATTTTTAGTTCACAGCCTTCCTCAGGCAACAAGTTGCTTATTCTTCTCTTAACTGTAATTTAAGTTTTGTGTTAGTTTTCCATGACTATATATGCTGGAAAAAACATCCCACTGCTGTTATACTTTGCAAATCTTTTAGAAAACAATGCCAATTTGGATTTCACAAAGAGAAGTTAGCCACAGATAGACAGGCAGAAACACTAGGACTACACTTCACTTTGGCCGTATCCAACTTTCCTCAGTATCTTAACCAAGCGTTATAAAAAAAATTCATAAGCATGGAAAAAAGTTAATTAAAAAATGAAGTTGCTTCTGATGCTAAGAAAATTACCCCAAGTTAAATCTACTGAAAGTCACAATGTAAAGCGATCGTTTTGCTTCACAAGACAACACATAAACCTGCTGAGCTCCTATATAAAAGATGCTCTAGTATGAAGATCTCTCTGCAACTGGCAAGCCCAAAATGAAGACCAGTGGCAAACTGAAATGTTGGCTGTGCCCAAATTGTTTAGACATGAAGCACCTTGCAAATACATCCTCCCACACACACTCTCAGACCTGGAGGTCTTAAACAGCCACAAGTATCTATTTCCAAAAAAGCACAGGTTAAACAGCTTAGCTCCAAAGTACAAAGGCCCAAACCTTACATAAACCAATATATTAACAATAATTACAGGACATAATGGTGCAGGCAGAGGAAGAGGCGTGACCTTGGTGGGCCTCTACTATGGAGGGCACCTGCAGCCCAGCAGTTATCACAAGGACGTCTCGTACACATCGAGGCACGTAGGGAAGTCTCAGCCTAACCACTGAATGAATTTAGCTCTTGCTGCCAGGAATAACAATACCTTCCTCTGTTCTCAAAAGGAGAAAGTCCCTAGGCAATATTATGCCATAGAACAAAGGCTTGCTAATACGGCTCATTTTAGTAGCTTTGCAAGACGATGAAAAAGACCCACTTACTTTGTTATAAGTTTGTCAAACAAAACAGATTCATTTGTAGTGCTGTAACGACTCTGTCGAAGTCTGCAGCTTCGGCGGACCTCCAGATCCCCATTTTCTTCATGGGCTTGGTCTGCAGCTTTTGAATTAGCTCTGGTTTGCAGTGTTCTGGTGACTAAAATGCATTAATATAGAAATTATTTTGAGACAGAAAATATGTTATTCCCTTTATTCCATTGTTGCTCTAGTAAAATGTAAAAAAATCTGCAGTGGATTGATTTTTTTTTCTTTAAATACTGAATTAGAAGTTATTGTCATGGCTACAGCATTAAATTTAAATTACTTATATTTAAATTACCTGCTTAAAAGCATGACTTGTATAGCAACATATTAACAGACTGGAAAGCCAATCTGATGAAAAGAACATGCAACTTTTGTTTCATGCAAGAGGCAAGCTTATTCCAGTTACTTCTTTCTGGAAAGATTAAAACAACAAATACCTCTCTCTAAGGTGTTTTTACTCTGTTCATGTAAAATTGTATCTAATAGTTTTTTTTAAAAAATGTTTATGTGGGAAGTCTCTTTTAAAGATGTATGTTTTTAGTACGCTGTTTAAGCATGCATCAGTTTCATTCTCTGCATCGTGACACAAAAATCTAGAAGAAATGTCTCAAGATAAACTCCCAAACACCAAAGAACTCAAAATGCTTGCCTGCTTTAAAAAAAGACCTGCCCACTATTTACCACACATAACCCTTTGCCATGAGTTCACTATTTGCACTATCATTAAAACAGTTAATGGAGGTCAAGTGAGAAAGCAGTGCACAATTACAACTTGGATTGCCACACAAAGTGCATGTCAGGCCCCTTCCTGCATGTAGCCCGTGGCTGGCAGGACACTGCCTGGAAATAACTGATTTTCCCAGCTGCCAGCAAGTGGCCTCACAGCATCAAGCCTGCTTGTGTACTCAGCACAGCGATTCGGGTCCAAGGTAAACTGCTGAACTTCAGTGACACCTTCCCCACATCAGTGGGTTTGTGTGTCTCATGACTGAATTACTTTTTAACTCATATATTCTAATATTGCAATATTCCATCCTACTTGCAAGAACGATTTTCAATTCATATCTTGCAGACTCCAGACATTTCTCCAGTCACAGAGAAATTCAAGTTAAGGAACAGATTCTCTTGTGTTTAAGAGCAGGCTAGAATTCATGTGGTGCTCTCCCCAAGCCTGAAAGGAATTAATAGCATATCCTCTTATTTGCATCTACCTCTTTTCAAAACACTTGCAGGAAATTCATTATCTTTCTCAAAACTTCAGCTGATTTTGTTTGATGAGTTCAGAAGCTTTTGAGGCCAAGTTAAATAGATGGAGTGACCAAATGCAATCCTCAGAAACCAGGCTAAAAAAGAATCCTAGGGAGTTACCACTACTTACCTTCTTTATATTCTTCTTTTTTTTGGTCTGATTTCAGCTTTGCCAACTGCCTACATTAAGAAAGACAGAAGAGAGAAGGGAGAAAATAATTATTGTATTAGAATTATTGTACAGAAGTGCTGTATTAGTCCCCACCAAGACTAGGTAACCTGATTATAACCTAGGTTTATAATCCCATGCTTCACATCACGTAAAGAAAAGCCTGCGGACCACACTGAGGATTCAGATCCAAAATCTGCTGTGTACCGTACGCACACGGTTCTATGAGGAAATAAATTTCCTAACCTGTTAATCTAGAAGTCTGAATAGTGCAAATAACATCTCAGTAACCAAAGCAGAGGAGAGATCTCAAAGGAGATGGGAAAAGTTGTGGGTTTTTTATACAAGCAGAAGACTTTTACTAAAAGTCATTCTAGTTCTAAGATACTGGCATTGACATTAACATAATCATATTCCCCCGCAGATTTTTAGATGTAGATTTATCATGATGTGACTCATTGCACATGCTCTCACTTTTCCTTTTAGTTCTATGAACTGAACAAAGATTAGACACCTAGAAATACAATACCTTGTGAAGTATGTTTGACTGACATCTTCACATAGTACTTCCACACTTTTGCCAAAGCTAGAGTCTGAACAGGACATGTTTTTTCTCATCGATCTTACACAGTGTCCACTGAAGCATTCAATTTTGCCAGAGGAAAATTCCTAGGGAAAGGAGGAAATGAGAACATATTTAATTGAACCATGCATGTTGAACTGAGAAGGAAATTCTCCCTCATTTAGGCAAGTTTATTCTGTAACTCTCTTGACTTGATAGTGGTGTACCTAACAGCAGGTAAGCCTTGAACCACTTCCGCACCAAGAAGTAGCTCTCAGAATGCCCCCTGCCCCCCCCTCCAAAAAAACAAACAAACAAAACCCCAACAACAACACCACCAACAAAACAGCTTTCAAAGCTAAAGCTCCCCTCCACCACAGTTTTCTTGTGGACAATTTGAGCTTAATATGCTTTGAAAAAATTATTGCAGCAAAGCCTTTCATATAAACTTAGCATTTCATGGAAAAAAAAACCCCAACAAAACAAACCCTTTTATTTCAAAATTGGTTCAGAGGAGCAGTCAAGCTTGACTGGGATTAAAATCTAGTTAAGAGAGTTTTTCTCCTATCTCCTATTCACCTCCCTGAGAGGCGACTTGTCGAGTTTACAACCCAAGTTTCATTAAGAGTAGCCAAACTACATCTGACGCTGCAAAGGACAGAAAACAGACCCGATTCTTCTGTTTCTTGACACTAACTTTACCAAGAGGTACTTGCATTAGCAGCTGGTGGAGATGAGGACAGAAGCCTGAAGAAGGTTGCTACAGGAGGGCAATGATGCACGTGCAAGGCTCTTGCAGGGCCGTGCAATGAGAGCTGCAGCCAAATGCTGCTGAGGGGTCAACCCTGAGCCACAGAACTGGGCAGTCCTGAAACTGTCTGACAGCCTTCTCTTCAGTCAGCCTTGGACAAGTCATTCCCACTGTCCACCTGAAAACTTCTCATGACAAGACAGACCTTTTGCACAAGGATTTAAATCACCTCTCCTTCATTGCTTATTTTAAAGAGCACCTCCCTTCCTGCAGTCCTCCGGGCTGGTAGAGCAAAGCCCCACAAGATGCCTCCCATAGCTGGCTTTTGAAGTTGGGCATCTGAGATGAGACCCCTAAAGACATTTTCTGCTTCTCAGATCCAGCACTAATGGATGTAACAAGACCTAAAGCTCAACGCAAGGTAGTCTGATCTGTCAGAGTCACCTTTAAGATTTTTCCTTTCAAAGGTTTAAGAAAGAAATTGTAACAGAAACTCTTTCAACTCATTTTTAATTCTACAGGGCCCTGGGGTTATTTGAAGAAGGCAGGTTTTTCTGCACACTCACACATAGGAGTCTATAAATACTTAAACCAATACTTTCAGTATTCATCACTGAGACAACTAGGAAAAAAAAACCTAGACCAAGAAAAAACGATGTTCTCACACCTGCAAATGTACTCAATAGTCTTCCTACAGCTGGTATGTCTGTGGTTTTTATATCATCCCATAAAACCTACAGGCATGCCTTGGAACTACCGATAATGCTGGGTTACATGATTAAAGGCCAATCTGCATAAACAAAAAGCAGCAGAGAAGCACTGGCAGGCAGAGGCATCCCAGGAAGGCAGCACTGGGGGAGCAGCCCGTCGCGCTCCTCGCGAGGCCACGGGTCAGCCCAAGGCCTGGCTTCGGGGTGAGGGACCCTGTACTGGAGAGGCCACAGGTCCAGGCCAGGGACCCATCTGTGTCTGCACAGGAGGTAACTGGGAGACCAGGCCACCCAGGGCCAGCTCCTGGTTTGACAGTGTCTAAGGACAGGTACAGAGGGATATATGTAGTACATGTATGTAAGCACACATATAGGGTCTGTATACCCGCAACTGCAACGGGGCTGGGCACCTCTGGGCTTACACACTCAGCTGCAGCCCCCAGGGAGACCCAGGCATCGGGAGGCAGCTGCAGACAGACTGGGTGCCCAAGGCCAAATAATAAGAGGGATCCATATTACATATATGCATTTCTCTGTGCCCATGTGTATCTCCGCACTAATGAGCTTTCACCCTGATCAGCCAGAGAGGGAAGAAGGATCAGGCCATTTGTACTCTTCAAAGGGCTACCAGGTTCAGCTCCTCTGAACATGGAGCACTTTCAAATAAGGACAACTTTTTAAGAGGATTTATTTCTAAATACACAATCACTTATGAAATTAGACTCCAAAGCTGGTAGCAACTATGGAAGATTTAGCTTGTTCAAACTGCAAGATACACAAGTTGTAACTGTCGCTTGGGATATTTCTACTTCATTGATCTAAAAGTAAATATTCCTTGAGAGAAATCTTAAAGGTTTGCCATATAAGTTAAAAGATGCTTGCAATAATAAGCTTCACAAATCTCTGGGCCAGATCTGAGACTAAAAGAAGGAACAAACACTTAGAGTCATCACAGATGTCAGAAAAAAACAGTATGGTGAGCTGGGAAATCTTTCTATGTATAGTTACGCACTTGTTTGCTTTTTTTAATGTATTTTTAATGCAATGTTCCCAATACAATACTTGTGTTATGTGTTAACCTCTGTACTGTCTTTTTACCTTAATCATGTCTCAAACTAGGACACAGGCAAAGCAGTAACAACGTGTATTGCTAACTCTGCCCATCCTCCATTCGTCGGAAGGCATCCCAGTTTAGTGAGACAGCAGACACTGTCAGGGCAACTCCAGCAAGAGTAACTAACTCCTATCAAGCCTATCAGGTGGAAAAAATACACTCAAGAAGTGAAATTCAGTAGAAGCAAATGGCTAAACTGGAAAGGTAAGGCAACTGGATGAAAGAATTCTGTAAAGTTATTTCAAATTTTCAAAGCACTTCCTATTTTGTTACTTTTCTCATGCTATGGGAAGTGATTAGCAGCTGTTTTTAAAAAGTCTTTTCACAAAAACTGTGTTTAGCTATCTGGTATCTCTGAGGGAGTAACTCTGTGTTGAAGTATTATCAGAACAGATAAATGTGCTTCAGCAACAAGGCTGTGAGCTCTGATGCTGAGGCCACTACACAGAGGAGTCAAGGCTCAGCCTGGAAAAGTGCTGGTTTCCACTTTGCCCAGACAAAAAGGGAATTCAGGAGCACAGGGCCCTCAAATACAGCTCACAAGACAACAATCTTGTTCAGCTTGGGGAATTACACCAGGGTTACAGACCTGTGGATACACAGCTTCCAGAAGTACAGCAGCCAGTTTGGATCTGCCATGGAACATCTTAGGACTGGAAACTTGGAAGAGGACAAACCCATCAGGTGATGGTTTGTTTACCTTAGACTTTCTGCTCTGTGCCCCTTACTCTCTATGGATGAGATAAGCTGAATAACAAGAGATAAACCACTTGTTGATACCAGAAAAACTGCAAAAGCTGCCACCACCAAGTCCTTGCACACCAACAAGTCAGGAAAGAGGCACGAGGACTTGAACATGTAGCTAGCACCAGGATCATCATCTCTGTCATCTGGGGCACTTCTGCATTTTGTCTGCAGTTAAAACACTCCACCAGAGCCTGGCCACCCTACAAATGAGGTAAGAATGACTCCACGCTTCAAAGCATGGGAAAGGTCTCCAAAAACAAACAAACAAACAAAAAACCCCACAAAAAACCCCCCAAAGAAATAAAAACAAAGAACCTTACAACCATTTCCCTAATGATGATTCTGCTGTGGTTTCAGTGAAAAGTTTACATTTAGCTTCCTCATTCCTGTTCTCCACACTGAGGACCTGTGCCAGCTGCTTTATCTGCCTAACTTTGCACAACAGCCTCCTCCCTTGTGCAACAGGCGGCTGAATTCCCTGCAGCCTCTGGCAACCACTTCTAGTGTAGACTGCAAAAGCAAAGCAGTGATCTTTTAAGCACGATTCCATGACTGTTTGCAAAGAAAAACAAACAAAAAAACCCCCAAAGATTTCTTCTTTGTTAGTTCAGTAGTCTGAAATGAAAATTCTGTAAGAGTTCTGCTGGAAGGAAACAGAGTCCACTACAAGCACCACTTCAAGGCAGAGCTCCCCTGAAGAGCAGACCACTTCAGAGTTGGATCTGCTCTGCTTTTATTTGTCATAGAAATGCAGGACACCCTGTGGAGAAGAGCCTGACTTGGAAAAAGCAGAGAAGAGTTTTAGCTTTTGAAGGCTACATTAAAAGCAATGAACTTCTCAAAGTGACATGGTTCAGTTATTAAAGTAGCAGCGAGCACGGACTATGTAAGATCCTTTATAATCAGGTAAACTGTCTCTTTTCTACTAGGATAGATTAAAATTATAAAAAGCTTAAGTAAAATTTTCACAATTTTTGGTTAGACATGTTACGTGCTTCAATTAAGTACAAATTAGTCCTGGTTTCTAAAGAGAACTTTGTTTTTAAAGCATCCAAAGTAGTACCTATGTACACTTGGCTAAGGAGGGTTTCACGGGCACTCCAGGCAATCCCAGGTCAAGTATATTTTGTGTCATGTGCTGGTTTTGATGCATTTTTGTCAGCAAAACAGCTCTCTCTGCGAGTGTTACCACAACTAAAGTGGAGCGGTCTCCAAGTTCTTTCTAAGAGAACTTTTTAGGTAACAAATTGAATAAAAATAAAAGGGAAATACAGACAACACAACCCTGCAGTGACGCCAAGGGTCGGTGTTCCCAGGGCGGCTGCAGGCGGCTCGCTGTCACCGAGGGTCCCCGCAGCAGAGGCTGTGCCGAGCCCCCGTCCCCGCCGGGTGCCCACAGC